TATGAAACTGATAGAGACTCTACTAGAAAGATTAAGGGACCACCTCTGAACTATTTATTATAATCACTTGCTTGAAATTGAGGTTTCACAAATAATGAAACATAGATTTGAATTAATTAAAATGTAAAACAAAAGAAATTCAAACACTTTTAACATCAAGAAGTCTGAATTTGAAAACACCCCAAACCTACACCCCCTTCCTTTTCCTGTTAAATGTGTAATACTGGAACAAACAACACTATGCGTTGCCAATATTTGCATATTAAACTTAAAAACGTGATACATTACGGTGCGTCATGATCTTCCCTGCTGGCAGCACGCTCGGAGAGATGAGGGAGCACGCACATGCACGAGTGCCCAGCGAGCACATGCTCTTCGGAGGTGTTTATTTTGGACACAAGCATTTGTTTTGTTTCTTTTCTTTGTTGTTTCTTCGCGCTGATTATATTCAAGATATACAGTGAAGGAAAAAGTATTTGATCCCCTGCTGATTTTGTACGTTTGCCCACTGACAAAGAAATGATCAGTCTATAATTTTAATGGTAGATTTATTTGAACAGTGAGAGACAGAATAACAACAAGAAAATCCAGAAAAACGCATGTCAAAAATGTTATACATTGATTTGGATTATAATGAGGGAAATATGTATTTGACCCCTCTGCAAAGGGTCAGACGTTTCTTGTAGTTGGCCACCAGGTTTGCACACATCTCAGGAGGGATTTTGTCCCAGTCCTCTTTGCAGATCTTCTCCAAGTCATTAAGGTTTCAAAGCTGACGTTTGGCAACTCGAACCTTCAGCTCACTCCACAGATTTTCTATGGGATTAAGGTCTGGAGACTGGCTAGGCCACTTCAGGACCTTAACGTGCTTCTTCTTGAGGCACTCCTTTGTTGCCTTGGCCGTGTGTTTTGGGTCATTGTCATGCTGGAATACCCATCCACGACCCATTTTCAATGTCCTGGCTGAGGGAAGGAGGTTCTCACCCAAGATTAATTACAGACTGATAATTTCTTTGTCAGTGGGCAAACGTACAAAATCAGCAGGGGATCAAATACTCCATGTTTGACGGTGGGTATGGTGTCCTTGGGGTCATGGGCAGCATTCCTCCTCCTCCAAACACGGCGAGTTGAGTTGATGCAAAGAGCTCCATTTTGGTCTCATCTGACCACAACACTTTCACCCAGTTGTCCTCTGAATCATTCAGATGTTCACTGGCAAACTTCAGATGGGCATGTATATGCTTTCTTGAGCAGGGGGACCTTGTGGGCGCTGCAGGATTTCAGTCCTTCACGGCATAGTGTGTTACCAATTATTTTCTTGGTGACCATGGTCCCAGCTGCCTTGAGATCATTGACAAGATCCTCCCGTGTAGTTCTGGGCTGATTCCTCACTGTTCTCATGATCATTGCAACACAACGCGGTGAGATCTTGCATGGAGCCCCAGGCCGAGGGAGATTGACAGTTCTTTTGTGTTTCTTCCATCTGCAAATAATCGCACCAACTGTTGTCACCTTCTCACTAAGCTGCTTGGCAATGATCTTGTAGCCCATTCCAGACTTGTGTAGGTCTACAATCTTCTCCCTGACATCCTTGGAGAGCTGTTTGGTCTTGGCCATGGTGGAGAGTTTGGAATCTGATTGATTGATTGCTTCTGTGGACAGGTGTCTTTTATACAGATAACAAGCTGAGAAATAGGAGCACTCCATTTAAGAGTGTGCTCCTAATCTCAGATCGTTACCTGTATAAAAGACACCTGGGAGCCAGAAATCTTTCTGATTGAGAGGGGGTCAAATACTTATTTACCTCATTAAAATGCAAATAAATTTATAACATTTTTGACATGCGTTTTTCTGGATTTTCTTGTTGTTATTCTGTCTCTCACTGTTCAAATAAATCTACCATTAAAATTATAGACTGATCATTTCTTTGTCAGTGGGCAAATGTATAAAAATCAGCAGGGGATCACAAATACTTCTTTCCCTCACTGTATACCTCTCACATCCCCGTACACTTCATGGAGTATTAGATATAGTTAATAAAGTTAGAGAGCGATTTAGTTAGTTTCACATTAGATTAGTTCACTTTGTCAACGCTGGTGTTTACCGCTCCCAGTTACCAGTCTTAGTTTCATGTTTTCAGTTTCATGTTCCACGTGTATGACCTTGTTTCTCGTTTCCTCATTGTGATTTGCGCTTAGCCCAGTTTATGCCTGTTTGCCAATCGCCTGACCCTTTTCCTGTCTTGACTAGGTTTTTGGATTACGATTTGGATTTGCCTGCCTTCCCTTTCATAAAAATAAACGTCTCTACCTGCACCTGCTTCCGTACTCAACTCCCTTATGTCTCGTGACGTGACACGGTGAAGTTAAAGTTCTGAGACTTGCCAGAAAATCCAAGAGAAGTACGTCCAAACACTAAAAACTGTAGAGTTCTGTAATATCAAAATAGAAAAAGCCAACAGATCATATCGCAGCCTTATATTCTATGCAGACATGCAATCAATGGTGTAGACCTGTGTGAGCTTCTTACATCTTCAGCTGACTCCAGTGTGGCCCAGTTCTGATCATCATCACCAACAACCAAAAGCAGTGGACATCTTATCAGGCCAACCTGGGTGTTTTACAGTGCAATACCTCATTATGAGCTAACATATGCAAAAACGAAATGTCTTTGCAAAAAAAAAACAAAAAAAACACGCACACCCAGTTGCAGGAACATTTTGAAATAAATCAAATATCAATAAATGGATGATTAAGATGCATTCAGTCAAAAAGCTAGGATGCTACAAAAATGCAGGAGAAAGTTTCTTACATCCACTTTCTCGGCTGGATCTGTTGGGATGGGCAAGATGATATCTCTCCAGATGACCTGATTGTCCATTATACGCACTTTATGAAACCTTCTACAAATAATTAAAATATTTTAAACATACTACAACATTTTAGTGACTCCAAATCATAAGCACACCTCCAAAAATTCATTAACTACAGCATATTTAAGATTACAAGAAACAGTCAGTAATATCACACCACCAGAGTCTATAAAAGCTATAAGAAAGATAGAAGGTCTGTGTGAAGCCATGTGTGTTCACTCCGATTTATGACATTTTACTGCAATGAATAGAAGTCACAAAGCCTCTTTTAAATGAAAACCAGATTTTAACTCAGAAACTAGTATTTTTTTTTCTAAAATGTTTTCTGATAATATTTCGTCTCAGCTTTCATAATGTACCAACATTGTTTTAAAATTCAAACATGGGATTTCAAGTTTGCTTCAAAAGCTGCGTTTAGTTGTGGACGTTACTCAGCTTCTTCTCTCTTCCTCTTTTATTAGATTTTGTAGCAAATAAGGTCTTTAATGAACAACTGTGGGTGCAGTTAATAATACAATTGGTTCAAAACTTTAATCTCTTGTAACTACGCAATCAATACAAAGATTTTATTTTTGGGGTGCAAATATTACTGGTGGATTAGGACATCTGTACCCAAGTGCATCAGCACAAGTAGTAATCTTGTCTAATGACTGAATAAACATTTCCAATTATTTTAATATTAATATTGACATGTATTGCTGTGGGAGCATTTTAACAAATTAATCTTTTAATTTGAGTTGGTAAAAGTGTTTTGAAATGATGCAGCAACACACACATACAAGTATTTGCAGTGTACGTACCTGTTAAACCCTTCATAGACTTCAGATATAGTATTACGCACAGGAGTGACGTGACTGCCGCTGATGCTTATACAACACTGGGGCTGCAACAAAATCACGTGCAAGAGTGTTAAAAATTCGTATTTAGGAAATAAAAATACAGACAGCGAAAAATAATTTTTTCTCAGAGTAATGTGTCCCTGATCTGAAGCAATGCAACAGTCCTAACATTTACATTACATTGGCGATGGTTGCTCCGGAGAGGGAGGAGCAAGGACCGGTCTGAAAATTAAATTTCAAATCTAAAAATGGCTCAATCCTCCCCTTATGGAGACACATCTCCCCGTCCAAAATCATGAAGGTTGCCAAGTTGCAGATGGAGTTTTCCAATGTTTTCTCGCATCTACTCGGTTGTGCTAATCTTATAGAACACCACAATGAGATGTCTCCGACAGTGGTGGTACACAGTCACCACTACCGTTCGCTACAGCACAAAAAACAGGATGAACTCCAGGCCATGCTTGATATGTGCTTAATCAAGGAGTCCCACAGTGGCAGTGATGGAGGATTCGGTCAGGTTTAGTGTTGACTTCAGGAGGATCAGTGCGGTGTCTAAATTTGACAAATATCCAATGCCTTGTATTGACGAACTGCTCGATCGTTTAGGTACGGTTCTCTTTTATTCAACACTGGATGGGATACAGGGATATTGGCAGATCCCCTTGACTCTGATATCATAAAAAAAAAAACCTTCCTTTTGGGTTGTCCGGGGCCCCAGCGACGTTCCAGCAACTCGTGGACAGAATCCCCTGTCTACATGCTGCATATCTAAATGACATTATTATCTATAGCAATGATTGGCAACAGCACATTCAGCATCTAAGGGCTGTCCTGAGATCACTGAGACAAGTGGGACACAGTCAAACCTAAAGAAGTGTGCGATTGGACGGGTGGAATTAGAGTACTTGGGCCTGCCGAGAATGGCTGGCTATTATCGTACATTTGTGCCCAATTATTCAGATGTCACCAGCCTGCTGACTGATCTCACTAAAAATGGAGCACCAGATCTGGTCCAGTGGATGGAGCTGTGACCGGAAGGCTTTCACTCAGGTAAAAGCTGCACTCTGCGGTGGACCACTCAGAGGCAGGCAGGCCGGATGGCTCCCCAGCCCTAGTCAGGTGGTGGGGGTATGTGAAGAAGGGGTGTGGTCGTGGTTCATCATTTCCGATCCAACCCAGAAGAAGTGTTACAGACCTGTAAAAACTCAACCGGCAAATTCAGATCCTGCCAGACACACCTCCTTTTATTCAACAACATATAAAAAGTTCCTGCTAACAAAATATATTAGGGCAGTGGTAGCTTAGTGTTTAGAATGTTTGACTTCTGATCACAAAGTTGTTAATTCAAATCCCAGCACTGCTAAGCTGCCACTGTTGGGCACTTGAGCAAGGTCCTTAACCCTCAATTGCTCAGTTGTATAAATGGGATGAATGTAAGTCACGCTGGATAAGGCCGTATGCCAAATGCCATAAAATATTTCTTTATGATATGGCTGCTAATAACATTTTATTTACTTTTGTTTAAAACTAGACCAGAATGTACATTCACCTTCCACTTTATTGGGCACACCTGTATCTCATTTATGCATTTATCCAATCAGCCACTCTTGTAGCAGCAGCACAATGCGTGAAATCATGCAGATACAAGTCAAGAGCTTCAGTTAATGTTCACATCAAACTTCAGAAGGGGGAGAAGTGTGTTCTCTGTGTGAAAAAAAAAAACACATCTTGTGTGCAAATGATCTGCAGGCTGAAACACCTTGTAGATGAGTCAGATCATAGGAGAATGACCAAACTGGTCTGAGCTGAAAGGAAGTCTATAGCAAATCAAATCAAATAAATAAGCAGAAAAGCATCTTAGAATGCATAACATATGAAAATTGGTGGATGGACAGGTGGATGGACTACAACAGCCGAAGACCACATCCGGTTCCACTCCTGTCAGACAGGAACAAGAATCTGAGGCTCTCATGGGAACAGACTCACCCAGACTGGACAGCTGAAGACTGTAAAAAGACCAGGTGATTTTTTTATTCTAATATTCAACTGTCCAGTTTGGGTGAGTCTGAGAACAACCTCAGATTCTTGTTCCTGGCTGATAGGAGTGGAACCCAATGTGGTCTTCTGCTGTTGTAATCCATCCACCTGCTTCAGCATACCCTCTATATTCATTTAAAGAGACATGCATAATTTAATAAAATGAGTTGTAGGAAAGATCTTTACTTACTTTAACAATTATATGTACTTTTTTTTTTACTTTGAACTTTACTATTGTATTATTGTATAAAATAATGTAAAAAATTATATTTTTTAATATATTTCATATATGTATTTATAGTTATTTTCCTAATATCTAGATGTGTTAAAAAACTTAACATGGGACCTTTGGTGGAAAACCACCCAATGTTTAGGTGAGCAAAAGTATTGGAACAGATAGACATAAATATCTTTTAGATAGACTTAACACTCAAGTTAAAAGTAAATAATATTTGGTTGCATATCCCTGTGGAAAGAGGAATAGCCCATCACTGCTGTTCTTTTTATCTGTTTATTGTATGTATAATGGTAAATCACCTTAATGACAGAGGAGTGAGCCGCCATAGAAAGAGCAACAGAAGCACCGAATGAGAGGCCCAACAGAGCCACTCTGTCCCTTAGCACCATGGGATGCTCCTGTATGATCTGATATGCAATCTACAAAACAGACACAAACACCAACCTGAGCTCAAGTATGAAATGAAATGCAAAAACCAAAATGTTCACAACTGCAGAAAAACATCCATGTGATCTATGTGCATAAATGGTGGCAAGCTCTTGAGAAGCTTTCTCCCAAAATGCCCTTTTTATTCAAAATATTCTCAAAAGCAAAAATGCATATATAAATAGTAAATAGAATGTATGTTAACCAAGTAACAACAGTAAGGTACAGTGCCTTGGGAAAATATTCGGCCCCCTTGAACTTTTCAACCTTTTGCCACATTTCAGGCGTCAAACATAAAGATATAAAAAATTTTATTTTTTGTGAAGAATCACCAACAAGTGGGACACAATTGTGAAGTGGAACGAAATCTATTGGATATTTTAAACTTTTTTAGCAAATAAAAAACTGAAAATTGGTGCGTGCAAAATTATTCGGCTCCTTTACTTTCAGTGCAGCAAACTCACTCCAGAAGTTCAGCGAGGATCTCTGAATGATCCAATGTTGTCCTAAATGACTGATGGTGATAAATAGAATCCACCTGTGTGTAATCAAGTCTCTGTATAAATGCACCTGCTTTGTGATAGTTTCAGGGTTCTGTTGAAAGCGCAGAGGGCATCATGAAGACCAAGGAACACACCAGGCAGGTCCGTAATACTGTTGTGGAGAAGTTTAAAGCCAGATTTGGATACAAAAAGATTTCCCAAGCTTTAAACATCCCAAGGAGCACTGTGCAAGCGATCATTTTGAAATGGAAGGAGTATCAGACCACTGCAAATCTACCAAGACCTGGCCGTCCCTCTAAACTTTCAGCTCAGACAAGGAGAAGACTGATCAGAGATGCAGCCAAAGGGCCCATGATCACTCTGGATGAACTGCAGAGAACTACAGCTGAGGTGGGAGAGTCTGTCCATAGGACAACAATCAGTCGTACACTGCACAAATCTGGCCTTTATGGAAGAGAGGCAAGAAGAAAGCCATTTCTCAAAGATATCCATAAAAAGTCTCGTCTGAAGTTTGCCACAAGCCACCTGGGAGACACACCAAACATGTGGAAGAAGGTGCTCTGGTCAGATGAAACCAAAATCGAACTTTTTGCCCACAATGCAAAACGAAATGTTTGGCATAAAAGCAACACAGCTCATCATCCTCAACACACCATCCCCACTGTCAAACATGGTGGTGGCAGCATCATGGTTTGGGCCTGCTTTTCTTCAGCAGGGAGAGGGACGATGGTTAAAATTGAGGGAAGATGGATGCAGCCAAATACAGGACCATTCTGGATGAAAACCTGTTGGAGTCTGCAAAGACCTGAAACTGGGACGGAGATTTATCTTCCAACAAGACAATGATCCCAAACATACAGCAAAATCTACAAAGGAATGGTTCACAAATAAACGTATCCAGGTGTTAGAATGGCCAAGTCAAAGTTCAGACCTGAATCCAATCGAGAATCTGAGGAAAGAGCTGAAAACTGCTGTTCACAAACGCTCTCCATCCAACCTCACTGAGCTCGAGCTGTTTTGCAAGGAAGAATGGGCAAGAATTTCAGTCTCTCGATGTGCAAAACTGATAGAGACATACCGCCAAACCGCAGCTGTAATCACAACAAAGGTGGCTCTACAAAGTAATACGCACAGGGGCCGAATAAATTTTGCACGCCCCACTTTTCATTTTTTATTAGTTAAAAAGTTTCAAAAATCCAATAGATTTCGTTCCACTTCACAATTGTGTCCCACTTGTTGGTGATTCTTCACAAAAAATAAAAAATTTATATCCTTATGTTTGAAGCCTGAAATGTGGCAAAAGGTTGAAAAGTTCAAGGGGGCCGAATACTTTCGCAAGGCACTGTACATCCTCCGTTGTGGCACAGGAAACAGTAAATAGTTACAGTAGGCTAAGGTCATCAGACTGGATGTTTTAATCCACTCTGCCACCTGTTTTAATATAACTATGTAAGTCATTATTGCACTGTGATGATAAAAACAGGGTGCTGTGTGGTCAAAGAGATTTCAATGCAATGACTAATATTCAAACTTGGACAAAAACACCTGATTTATTTCCATAGGAGAAGTCCATTTTCTTAATAATGGATAGTATGCATGTACAAATCATGAGACCATGAAGGGCTTCGTGTTGAATTACCTCAAAGTAAGATACACCAATGTCTTTTATTTCATCTGGAGTCAGATACTCCAGAGCAAAAGCAACAAAGCCATGTGAGGCCAGCAGCGCAGCTCGATACTCCACCAGGCCTCCTCCTCCGCCCCACATGTCCAACACACCTGGAAATGGGCCAGGGCCTTGATGAACAGAAAGAGCACAGTAGTTATAATCACCTATTATTAAAATAAAATTAGCAGTGAAAGTTATAACTAATCATCATTATCTTTCTGTAATTTATAAATTGTTTAAATTCCGTATTATAAAGATCATATTTGGTAGGGGGCAGCATGGCAGCTCTAGGGTCTCTGGTTCGATCCCAAGCTCAGGTAACTGTGTGTGTGAAATTCTGCATGTTCGCTTTGTGTTTGCATGGGTTTCCTCTTGGTTCTCAGGTTTTACATTGACAATTAGTCGCTTGACGGATGCTTCTCTCCAAAGCAGCGTTCATATGAGACATGATACAACAGAACAAGTAACAGTGTTTGTGCATGTGTACCTGGAGGGATGAACAAAGTTCCTCGAACTCCTTTCTCACGTACATCGACCCTCTGCACATCTGGAGCCGTGTACCATCTTTCTATGACGATGGTCACTAACGGTGTGAGCAGGATAAAATCCTGAGCCATGTGTCCATCATACACAGAAATGTGGAATACCATTGGTGTGAGGACATCTCGCTTTCGCAACCTAAATTACACAGATTGAGACTGATTAGATGAGGGCACAAGGTTTAACTGTCACATGCCCTAAATGGGTTTAATTCAAACCTCAATAACTCAAAAACAATCAGGTCGATAGATGGTATATTTAACAAAGGCTTAAAACAAACAGATCATACAACGCAGGACCCAATAAAATGAAAACCAAAACAAATATTTAGCCCAGTAAAGGTTTGAGAACTCGTTCTCGTTCCAATGCACTTAAAAGTAACAAACATGTGTATACCAAAACATTTGTCATTGCAACACTTTTCTGGGAGAAATGGTGCATTTTCTGGAAAAGATCCAGGCATGCCAATAATTTCTTCCATGACTGTATGTTTTAAAATGACTGTCCCAGTTTCTGCATTAGGACCTGTGGACTGAATTGAAGACGGTGAACAAATGAATACAAAGGATCATGAAAAGTTCTGAATGAAGGAGAAAAAACAGACTTAAAACCCTGTTCTGTCCAGAGAGAACTTATAACTGTTCATTGTGGGAATGTTGTGTTTTGCATAAAAAAATGCTCTAGTTTAGAAAAATCTATTTCATGTTTTAAGCATTAAGTGTTCAAATAAAATAAAATTAGCATATATTTACATGATCACTTATTGCATAATAATAGTGGTGCTATGTGACATACCTCAGTCCTGTTCGGCTGCCTGGTACTGGGCGCAGGCTCCACATCAGTGCCATGGACTCCACACCTGTATATGTGCCTCCCACACTGGAGTCCTTTGCCACTGCATACACACATGTTCACATACAGCAATCTCTAAAGACTGTAATACTGTGCTG